GCAAACCATGTATCGTGGATGTGACTTACGTAGGAAAGGTTATGTTGACTTCTTCTCACTGGAATCACACTTAAAGACCAAGGCTTTGCCTTCGAACACAAGGCGTAATGAATTCATATGCAGATCACTCCCCACTTAAGACAGGGTGCTGTTCAGGCATCTGGATCATTAGTTAGTTCTGATGTAAGTCAAATGCCTCCTTTTTTGAGTTTTTATAGCTTGCTATAAATAGTGTTTTGAACAATAAATCTTAAAATGGAATGTCTGCGAGTGAACATCCGAGAATAACATCAGCGAATGATGCAAGTCAGCATTGTATGTCGTACTCGTGACTAACAATAAGATTTGTAAGTGCAGTAGTTCATGGTAATTTGAATATATCATGAATCAAGGATTACCCGTACTTCAGTGTACCAAGTTTAAAAAAAGGTTGGCTGTCTATCAGTGGGCTCCAGAAAGTTCATGAACAAATGGAATCCAAAGAGCATGGGCTATTTCTTGAAAGGTTTTGAAGGCCTCCTGTATACACAGAGGGTATACACTTTGGATTAAAGGAGCACACATACTTACCCTTGAATGTTATGTACATTTGCCCTCACTCTGAAGAGATTAAACCAATCCCAGGTCATCAGCCTCACCCTCACTTGGGGCACATGCAGCTTCAAAGACACTGAAAAGATTCTCAACCTTTCCCTGCACTACCACCACCCAAGCCCTCAGCGTGGTGCAGTGAACTCAGGCTCCTGGTGCTCTGCAAGGGAGAGGGGGGTTACTGTTAGGTGCCATCGAGTCCGCCAGAAGGAGGCACTGCCTGCTCCTCCGCCAGCCTCATAGTTGTTGTGATGTTGGAGCCCATTTTCAGCCACGGTGTCAGCCCATTTCCTTAAGGGCAGTCCTATCTTTCGCTGACCCTCTGCTTGAACCAAGCATGATGTCCTTTCCAGGAATTAGTCTCTCCTGATAACATGTCCCAAGTACCTGAGATGAAGTCTTGCCAGCCTTGCTCCTAAGGAGAAATCTGGCTGTACTTTTTTCAAGACAGATGGAATAGTATGCAGCTATTAAAAGTCATCCTTTTAGATATTATTAATCAGCAAGAAAAAAATTCTCATATAATATGAAATATTAAGAGCATGCTACAGAACCAAATAAAATATAATTCCAATTTTAAGACCGTGGATATAAGCATTTACTATGCATCCAAATAATGCATACATGTAATGGGGTGCTTCAAACTGTTTCTGGTGCTTTTCTATGAAATTTTTGAAGCCCCCTTGTATAATTAGAAGGAAACGAGTTTTAAAAATTAGTGGTTATCTCTGGACGCTGGACTTTGTCGGCTTTTTATGGTGCCCGCTGTGGTTCTCTACACTACTAGGTGTTCCCTAATGAGTGTGTGCCGCACGCCTTCCCTGCCAGTGAGTCGATTCTGACTCATGGTGACCCGTTACGGCAGGGAACACTGCCCCTGGGGGTTCCAAGACTGTGATTCTTCTTCTTTAAAAAAAAAATCATTTTATTGGGAGCTCTTACAGATATTGTAACAGTGCATAATTCAGTTGGGCTCCTCCTGAGTGTGTGTTACTTAAGAGAGGCCCAAGGATGTCGGTCTTAGAAATGCACCTGTGCTGCCTATCATTCTGCTGCAGTGTTTCCTTCAGTGTCTGTAGCTCTGTGTGAAACGACCATGCATGCTCCCAGATGGGAAGCAAAGCAAAGGTGTAGTAGGCATGATGTGCTTCGCCCGGGGCGCCTGTGGTTTTCATGGACAGGCTGCTGTTTTCGCCATCTCAGGCTTAGCATAGACATCCTCTGTGAATTCAGCTTGGCTTGCTTGTCCTCATTCCCACCTCCTGGCAGAATTCCTCAAACCCCCCCCCCGGGCAGTGTTTAGACTGTACTTTAGTGCTTGCCGGAGAAATGCTTGACGATCTAGCCCCGTAAAGATGCTAGCCAAGAAAATCCCATGGGCAGTTCTGTTCCGTCACATGGGTCAGTGTGAGTGGAATCTACGAGAAGATAACCCAAGAACAACACTGCATGGTCCCTGGAAGAAGGACAGGAACGGCCACTGCGGTGCAGAGAAATGTCTTTATATGGCTCTTTTCTCCGTGTCTCTAACTTCCACCAAATGATGGGCTGGGACTAAGCAAGTAAGGTGTGTGACATGCTAATACAGGGATTGATGGTTTTGTTGCCATTGCCCGTGTGTACGAGAGCCACCTCAGAAGCAGGAAGAGAGATAAACGTGGGACCAGCCAGGATGAAGAGCTACCGGGGGCGTGCATTCCAGACCCCTGCCTAACGTGACAGAGCCAGAGACCAGACGCACAGAGACCGTGGAGTCACGCCGGGCGTGGCACCGCTGAGACTTCAGATGGTGAGACAATGAGGTGGCGTAAAGCCCTGTGGCAGGAGGACTTCCTGGCCCACGGAGGCAGAAGCCAAGAGACCAAGTGACTGCGAGGCTGAGGACCAGAGAGACACTGGCTGCTGGCTGGGGAGAGGCCCTACTGTGCGCCAGTGACTAGGCCCTTACTGTATACTGATCTTGACTTGCGGTAATCTGCTAATGTCCCTAATAAGCCCCCATAATGTGAGCCTGGTCTGTGAGCTCTGTGTGGTCCTTGCCATGGACTAGTGACCCCAGTAAGAAGTCGGAGTGTCGTGGGAGGTTGGTGTCACAATAGGGTGAAGGGATAGAAGCTGGAGGCATGTCTGACTTCTGCCTGCCTGAGTTGCGCTTGGGCAGATACGGAGACGGATTCTCCTCCCTGCCGAACCAGAGGAGGTCAGATGTGGCCCCCACACCTTTAGCTAGGTTGTTTTTAACCTTCTTAGTCCCTAGCCCGAAGCCTTGCTCCACAGTGATTGGCTAAATGTCTTGACAAATGTGCGGCAGTAAGGCCCACAATATAACAATTTTAGGGAGATATAAGTGAGGTACTAGTCTTAAGATAACAGAGTTGAAAAATTATTTTTTAAAAAGATAATGGAGTTGATAGTACACACACACACACACACACACACACACACACACAAGTCTCAAGTTTATGGGGAAATTCCATCATATTGGAACTTAATTTTCCCACATATACTGAATGGACCACATTGAAACTAGCACAGTCCTTTAAGAGAAGTAGCAATTGCTGATTTTGGATTTCTTTGACTGATTCTGGGCTGTTTCCACGGTGCCGTCATGTAGGATGGGAGTATCCATTAATACAGCCCTTATGGAAGGGCAGTCGGCGATAGCTGTCGAATTTAAAATGCAAATCATCTTGGCATTTCTAGAAACTGAACTCCTCAAACATACTCACACACGTGGGCAAACGTATGAATAAGCACCGTTGTTGGAGCGCAGCAGAGAGGGTTTTTCAGGGAGATGTTTGCAATCTCACGCAGCCAGCAGGAGTGGGGCAGACCTATTGTGCTGGCTACGACAGCCATGGTGACAGCATGCTGGTGGATGGGCTTTACTGCATGCAATATAGTGTGCCAGACTCTGCACCATGCATGGGGCGGACTTTGTTAAGTTATTCGTACACTGATGCTTATCTCCATTTTGTAGATGAGGAAACTGAGGCACAGAGCTGGAGTAACTTGCCCCAGGTCACGCAGCTAGTGGTAGACAGAGCTAGTAATCATCTCAAGTCTTTAAAAAAACAGTGTGATGTTGGAGCAGGCTGCTCTTAAACCCCAGCACTTCCTTCTTTCCACTGACAGAGAAAGGGGGATCAAGACATGTAATAAATGAAATATGCAACAAAACCCCGATACCCTGCCCCTTGTGCTTACACATTTTTTTAATGACCGCTCATCTTTGAAGGGCACAAAAGAACATAGCAGTGGTTTCGTCTCCCAGAGAGTGATTGCATGACCTTTGACTTCTGATGGTTCATCTTTTTCTCTCGGGTGCAGTTTAAATAATCGGCGTTGCTGATATGAATTTTTAACTGTGAGAAGTGTAGCTGAGACTGTGGTAGGCGAAGCTGGAGCCACGGGCACAATGTCATCCTCACTTCTACCTACCCTGGGGTCCCTTTTTACCAGGGTTCTCGCACCTTCTCTCTCTTGCCAAACCCAAGCCAACAGCTCTCTTCAAAAGGCACCTCCTCTGGTTTCCCATTTACCTGCTCCCATGTGCACCGACCGGGCAGTTCAAGTTTACACGTTATCCCTTCCTAGTGCCTGGACTTCCTGTGGTTTCACAGAGGATTTGAGGCTGCGGACGAGAAGAGAGACTGGTTCCTTCTTGTTAGGTGTCCTCGGGTCGGTTCTGCCCCTAGGGACCCGGTGTACAACGGAGCAAAACCCGCCAGGCCACCTTTGCAGGTGCTATGCTTAGCGATGCCCACATTGGGAACTGTGGTTCTATGGGCCTGTAGAGTGGTCAACTTATCTTTCAGTTTCTGGGACGTTGGGCAAATAAAGAATATTCTGAGCTCTGAAGTTCTGGTGATTTCACAAAAGGACATATATATTTTATTTTCTTTGGGGGGAAAAAAAAGTTCTTTTGTTCTGATACGACGTTTTGAGGAGAAATCTGCTTCGTGGACCCTTTCAGGCAATTTCCAGCTGTCTGTCTGCCCAACTAAATGATATGCTTCCTTACGACACATTTCATGTTCTGTACTCTCTGTTCTGCCACTGCCTAGAAAATGGCTTTTATTATTATGGTTCAAATGATGAATTCGGCAACAATGACAGCCTCGTCACGTGGATTATGTTACCGTGAACCTTTGTGAGACTGATTTAAATCTGTTCCAGGAGTTGGCAGTATCCCCATCCTCTTCAGCAGAGAGTCTTCTCTTGAAGACCCGCAGCAAAACCCTTGTCATTGATCTCTTCAGGCTAGCTCGTCCTGAGTTCTATTGCTTGGTGTTACCCGGACGGTTCAGCCGAGGATGGAGGGTGAAGAACCAGAAATTCGTTCAGAATCTTGCCTCATGTGAGCCAAACCTTTAATGCTTTCCATGATCTTTCCCCCCTTCTCGTAGGCCAAGTTATCAAGGCGTGGGACATTGGGGTGGCTACGATGAAGAAAGGCGAGATCTGTCACTTACTGTGTAAGCCAGAATACGCATACGGCGCCGCTGGCAGCGTCCCCAAGATCCCCTCGAATGCCACTCTCTTTTTTGAGGTACGTCTGTGCTGTGCTGCTGCCTCGCCGGCATCTGCCCTGCTCTCGTGCTGGCCCCGGAGCAGCAGCCAGGGAATCAAGGAGCTGAGCTGGCTCTTGGGAATCGGATCCAACGTATTTGTTTTGGAGCCCGGGTTCTTGAACGATTTCCCACAAATCCAAAGGGTGTGTGCCAGTGCTTTCTTAGAAACGTGTCTCTGGCACAGGGAGATCTTATCAAAATAAACACACGGCCCCAGGCTGAGGAATAAGGATTCTGGGCAGCGGTGTGAGGGCGGCGTGCTCAAAACTGACCGGAAGACAGGAGGGAAGCGGTGGAGGTAATGGCCACCCCGAGCCACACGGGGTTTTCGCAGAGGCTGTAAATAGAGCACTCTCACGTCCTCATTCAAGTGGTAGATGGTGATCTGACAGTGCTTGTCCTGGATTGAATGGTACCTATTTGGCCAACTCCGATAAAGGAGGAAACAGTCGGATCATCCTAACTACATAAAATGAAACTCAGTCTTATGTTTTAAGCTGGGCGCTCAAAGCAGCAGCTTCAGCCTCAGACACACTTGTCCTGTGCCAGCACCTCACAGCTCTGGCGTTTTGCCCACAAAGCAGTTTTCCTAGTATTTCCTGCCTGTCTTTGCACTGCTGCCCCGCAGGATGTAGTCCTAGACAATATCTTTCCAGGCATTGAAAAGTGCACTGTGCACTCCCCTCCCCACTTTTCCCAAAACTAAGATGCATAGATAAATACATGTATATTTTAAAATAGTGTTTATTTGGTAAAATGAAAGAACAGGGTTGTCCTTGCGTTTCCCCTGGGTACACTGTCTTCATGTGGTCTTTTCCTCAGCCAAACCCCCTTTCCTGTCTAGATTGAGCTCCTTGATTTCAAAGGAGAGGACTTATTTGAAGATGGAGGCATTATTCGGAGAATCAAGCAGAAAGGAGAGGGATACTCAAACCCAAACGAAGGAGCAACAGTAGAAAGTAAGTACCGCTGTGAGAAGCAGCTGCTAACAGTTGGGTTCCATCTTTATGTACATCAATATTAAGAGCCCCGATGACATAATGGGGTACATGTTAGACTGCTGACCGCAAAGTCAGCAGTTCGAAGTTGCTACCCTGTTTCCCTGAAAGTAAGACATCCCCCGAAAATAAGACCTACTTACAGTTTTGCCTCTCGCTGAAATATAAGGCATCCCCCTGAAAATAAGACCTCCCTGAAAATAAGCCCCCTGAAGTTACCGTAACTCTGGACTCAGGACCGTAGTGGCGGGCACTGCCGCGCAGCTCACTGCTGGCCGCAGCGCAGCCAGAGCAGACAGGAAGTGCGAGGTCTCTTTTAATAAAACAACAAACAATAAATGTGTACTGTATTCTGCTTCATGGAAAAATAAGACATCTCCTGAAAATAAGACCTAGCGCATCTTTGGGAACAAAAATTAATATAAGACTCTGTCTTATTTTCGGGGAAACAGGGTAACTGCTCCTCAGGAGAAAGATAACTCTCCGAAAGAGTTACAACAATCTTGGAAACCCTCAGGGACAGTTGTGTTCTGTCTGTAGTGTCTCCATGAGTAGGAATTGACTTGATGGCAGTGCGTTTGAAGTACACACACTCTCTCAGTCTGTTGACGCCTAGTGCATGCCAACACTTATATTGATCACTTTGCCTCCCGGAGGGCTTCAGAAAGGTCATGAAAAATGTGACCAGAAGATAATAGAATTCTTCCACAAATGTTTTGAAGCCCTATCGTATTTATTCGTTTCTTTTTCAGGTTAGCCTTATGAGGTAAGGTTTATTATCTCCAGGTAGGAAGGCTTAGAGAAGTCATATACATCGCATAGGTTACAGGATTCCTGAAGAGCAGTAGATTGTAATTGCCCTCAGGTCTCTAGGATGCATCTCACTCCTGTTGTAACCATTGAAAACAGCTTCTGTGATGAGGGTCCAACATCAGGAGGCTTGGATTCGAGCCCTGCTGTGCTCGTCACTGCACGGACCGCAAGCTGTTCCCGCCCTTCCTGGGCTAAGTGGGGAGTAAGGACACCTTACAAGACTGGACACCCTCCCAGAGCACTTCGCATGACAGTGTGTGCAGCATTGTCGCTGTATGTGCTTGAGGACCCGAATCGTTCCTCATGTGTGTTACCTACACTGCCTGACAAACGGGTGGTGTTCCGTAGAGGCTTTCTGCACGGATAAATAAATGTTTGGAAGGTGCCATTACTGACAAGAATCCTTCTAGAAAAAGAGTGTGAGGAAACAGAGAGAAAGAAAAGCTTCCGTTAAGGAAAAAAGCCAAATCACTAAACGAGGCTAAGGATGTGGACTATAAAATAAAATAAAGTACCTATTTAAAACAAAGAGATCATTTAAAACAGTACACGAATATAGTTTCATTTTTTATATTTAAGGCTCTCTGTTTATCCTTCATGCATTTCATTTTCTGCCATCTCACAAATACATTTCAATTGAGTTGGTCATTTTATCGGCAGTGTCTGTAACACTGTTACTAGACTGGTGGCTGAGGTGTTTAAGGTAAGGTGACCAGATTTTAACATTGGTAAAGCGGGACAAAAGCGGAACACCATTGATAAAACTCATATCCTATCAAAATAGCCACATGGCAGCCGAAAACCGTATACTCTAGCTGATCGTGCATTCTTTCAAAAAATCGGGACTTTTTAAAAATGCCGTGGGACGCGGGAAAAATTGTTAAAAATCAGGACTGTCCCGCCAAAAGGTCATGGTGCGTGATTAGCTTTGGGCTAAAGAAGAGCTCTGTTTAATGTGGGAGACATAGCTCCAGACCAGGAGTTGGGAGATTTCCAGGCTCAGCTCTGAACTCAGCTGCCTCGAATTAGACCTCTCTTCTCTGCACAAACAAGGAAGCATTTGCTGCTAACCAGAAAGTTGTGGGTGGGTGGGTTTGAAGCCTCCCAGGGGTGCCTGGCAATCCGCTGCTAGCGTTTTTCACTGCCACGAATATACTAGAAAGCTCAATTCCCCTGAGGACGGGTTCCCCTAAGTCAGAATGGGCTCACCAGCAACTGGCTGTTGGGTTCTCGGGCTTTCTTTTCCTTCCTACCAGGGAGGCCTGGTTGGATCTCTTGATTTTTTTTTTTAATGGTTTTATTGGCATACAATTCACACATGCAGTTTAAAAGTTCAAACATATTAAGAAGAGTTAAGCAATCATCACACAATCAATGTCAGAACATGAAATCTTTCTTATACTCATTAGTTTCCCATTCCCCCCCAACCTCCCCTCCCATGCCCTTAGGTAATTATTAATCCAGCTACTATCTCTGTAGATGTACACTTCCTGGATTTCATATACAGAAAACCATACAAAACAGAACAAGGAACACACAACCACACGTGCGCACACGAACCCAAATAACATGACAAAAATTAAACAGAAGGAAAACCTCAATTGAAAAGAAAGCAGAAAATATTGCAAACACAACTTTAAAACAGGCAAAAGGGAGATCAAATGATACGGTGTTACATTTTTGCCTAACTACATCTGCCCGATCCGACTGCCCAGTCAGTGCTCTGTGTCTGGTAACAAGACGCTTTGCATCCCGGACCGTGGTCAGAGGGATTCACTGTAGGTTTCATCCACGTGGGGACCCTGCAGATGGATTTTGGGCTCCTATTGTGATCCATTGCCTTCTGTCAACTGGGTGTTCAGAATTTAAGCTCATACTAGCCTTAAAAATTCCATAATATAACTCTAAATGTTTATGAAAGTTATAGGAGTGATAGAAAATTATCACTAACATATTTAGTATATTAATGTATAAGCAGTGTGCTCATAAGTAAAATTTTAACGATGAAAAATTTCAAGTGGACACAAAAGTAGAGTTCTTTTTCCTATAATATAACGACCTCCTAAATTCAATAGTTAATAGTGTATATTTTAAAAATGGAGATTTTTTGTGTGCCAATTTCAATGAAAAGGAAAAGCTTTGCAGTTATAGACACTCCCACCAACCAAGCGCCGTAAGTAGAGGTAAATGACTTTGAATTGAAGAAAAAAGAAGTGAATTTTATAGATAGGAGTCTTTTATTTTTTTAAAAACTTTTTGTTTTGAAATAATTTTAGACTTCAGCAAGTTGCACAACTAGCACATAGCGTCCCTTGTTCCCTTCCCCCAGCTTCCCCTACTGCTAACATTTTGCCTTCTCACAGTACATTTACTAAGCCCGGGAAATTAACATGAATATAATGCTACTGGTCAATCTGCGATTTCCCTATCGTCTAAGGTGACCAGACAGCCCGCTTTTGGCGGGACAGTCCTGATTTTTAACAAGTTTTCCCATGTCCCGTGGCGTTTTAAAAAGTCCCGATTTTTGGAAAGAATGCACGACAAGCTAGGGTTAACGGTTTTCGGCTGCCATGTGGCTATTTCGTCAGGATATGAGTTTTATCAATGGTGTCCCGCTTGACCAATGTTAAAATCTGGCCACCTTATAATTGTCACACTGAAGTCTTTGTTCTGGCTGAGGATCCAACTTGGGATCCAATGTTGTGTTTATTGGCAAGTATCCTTAGTCCCGCCCATCATTGGCAGTTTCTCAGTCTTCGCTTTTCATGATCCCAACACATTTGAAGACAATGACCAGTTTTTATATAGAGGGTCCTTCAGTGCAGGCGTGTTTTCCCATGATTCCATGTAGATTTTGCAGCTTTTGAAGTATGCCACATGTGGTGTCTTCATCATCATCAGGTGGAACATGAGGCTGCTGTCATTGTTGATTTGGTTAATTGATATTAACTTGGATCAGATGGCTAAGGAGGCAGTGTCTGGTGGGAGATGCTAAGAAACAGCGAATGCAAGTGTCCTGCTACACCTTCTTCCCACGTTCATGTTAGCAACCGTGAATGAGTTTTGCACACAGCCTTTATTCCTGTGGCATTTGACTAATGGTAATTTTACGATTTCCATCAACCCTTCTACATTTATTAACCTGCAAGGAAGAGCTCTCCCCTCTCTCTTTACTTATTCAGTTATTTGAATCAGTATGAACTCACGGACATCTATTTTATCCTGTAGGGTATTGGTCACTCCTGTTCTTTTTCTTGTGTCGCTCAGATCATCCTAGAGAGGGCTCCTGGAAGCGCCGTCAGGTGGGCGCTCCCGGGCCTTTCAACTCGCCCCCACTGGTGGTGAATGCTTCCTTCCTTCCTGGCAGCAAAGACGTTCCAGGGTCAGCTTGTACCTTCCCGATCCCCAGCCTGGAATCAACCATTCACGCAATGAGTCCCGATTCCTTTTATCGAAGAACGACATTTTCAAATCAACGTCTGGATGTTAGGTGTGCTTATGCTAATGGATGCTGTTGTTGCTAGACCGTCTTCGTTGAAAGTTAGGAAATAAATGGAACACACATGTACATCACACCTTTAATTAATATATTTTTATATTAATCTTTATATATGTTATATATGTTCTTACTGACATTTATTGTGGTTTGGGCAAAAGTTTACAGGGTAAATTAGCTTCCCATTCAACAGTTTTTACATTTTTTTTCCTGTGACGTTAGTTGCAACCCCTGCAAAGTGGCAGCTCCCTTCCCACTTTCTCACTGGGCTCTCGTTTCCATTGCGATCTTTCTTGGCCCTTCCTGCTTTCCGTACTACGGTTTCGAGCAGGTGTTGCCCTTCTGGGGAGTTAGGTTGATTGTTCTGAGAAGCACATTCAGGCCTGTCTGTTGTTTAACTGAAAGGTGCTCCTGGTTGTAGGCTCAGTTCCAGGTTTGAAGGATGATTAAGGGCCATAGTCCAGGTAGTTCTACCAATCTCTATCAGACTAGCACATTGGAGGCTTTTACTATGATGCTGACTTTTGCTCTACATTTTCCTCCCACTTTGCCCTATTGTTTTCTGGATCAGAGTGGATGGTACTGGTCTCAGTTATAGTTCTGGTCTCAGGCTAGTGGAGGCGGTGGCTTGTGCAGTCCGTTGGATTAATTG